TGTTTTTTGAAAATCGCGATCGGTGTCCAACTCGTTTAGGGCCCATTCCCCGAACGTGCGACACGCTCGATAGTCGTTCGGCTTCAGTTCGGGCACGAGTTCCTCCACAAAATCTTTCAATTGTTGCGCGCTGCGGCGTTTGAACTCAGTCGGGTCTTCTTCTATACATTGTTCGACAGCAGAAAAGTACTTTCGGTAAGCACTGTAAGGGGTCTCTCAAGATACGTATTATCCACTAGAGTAAAAGTGGTGCGAAACCGATTCATGGTTGCTCTAATCACCTACTCTGAAATGACAGACCAAGCTGAGCATAAATCAAGTGGGGGCTGTCAGAAAACCCAACTCCGAAAAACGAATTGCAATATTGAAAACCACACGTTTGACAAAAAAAAAAACACCCTTCACATGCGGTAACGCCTCGAAAATGTTGCTCCTATTTGAATTTAGGAAATTTATTTCATTCAGATTTTGGTTTTTATATATATGTTTACATGTTGGAATATTTGAAAAATAATAATGGAGAGAATCGAAATTTTTTTCTTTATTTTTGCATACCGAATTAACTGTAAAAAAAAATCACTCAACAGAGCTTTGCAATTTAGGCATAAAAATAAGTCTCAAGACAGGTGTCTTCAATTTTTGCAGGATTTTAATTTTTTTCTTTCACTTTTATAAAAGTAATAATAAGCCAAAGTATGTAAAACAAAAACAATTTGAATTTTGAAAATCTAAATAACTAAAAAAAAATTATTTATTTTTAAATCACTTTAAAAAAAGTAACAAAATAAAATAAAAATTAGAAATAAAATGAAACAAAACATTAATTCGAGAATAAAGTTTAAATTCTTCAAAATAGTAAGAAAAAAAACAACAACAAATAAAAGTGCAAAGTTTTAACTTTAAAAACACAAAATGCAAACAATGAAAATAAGCCACAATTACATTTTTGTCAATTTCCAATAAAATTACGTACACAAAAATTTTAAAAGTCCAAATTTTAAGGAAAAACTATTAAAAAAATAAGTGAAAAAAATTTAAATTTAAAATAAATCTAAATAATAATATTTTTTTTTGTAGCAAATTTCTAATAGATAAAATACGCAAGTCCATTTCAAAGTTATAAATTTAATAAATAGTAAATGAATTAAAATTTTTCAATATTTAATAAAATAAAATTTTAGCTTATTTCTTTGAAAAAAAAAATATATATATATATACATATATGTAAGTATAAGCAATTGTTTTTAAAAAACAAAATTTTTAATAAATTTCGCTTTTCAAGGTGCACGCATACATACATACACGTACATACTAACAGATATGTATGATATATGCAAACTTTTTATTTCCTTTTGATATTTTATTTTTTATATATTATATGTTATAAATAAATATGTACACACATACAAATGTATGCACCACTTAAGCGCCGATTGTATTGTGTCTTTAGCAATGAATTTTAATAATAATGCTAAGAAGCTATATTGGATACATACATATAAACGTAGATATGAAGTAGTTAAGCAGCATATATTATACATAAATATAAATTTTCACTGCATACACACGTACATACATATATTATTATATTTACCATCCACTGTATTCTCAGTGCAATCAATCAAAAGATTAAAAATTAATAAATAAAGAAATATTAAAAAAAAAATTATTTTTATGCAAATTTTATTCACATACATACATACATATGTACATATGTGAAAGGTTTTCCAATAAGAGGTGTTATTTTATTATTACAAGTAAGTTTTCCCATCTTATCGAAGGTAAACATTGTCCAAGTCAACCAAACTATCCAATTCCGGCCAAAAAAAAATCATTAAACCTCTCTCGATGGCACAATTCATTCACCGTAACTGCGGCCTGCAGTATAACTTCCGAAAAAATGAGGTCTAATGACCCTACCGAATCATGAACCGCACCAAACAGTTACTCGTCGGAGATGTAGAGGCTTTCCAACAATAAATCTTGGGTTTTCCGTGCCTCAGATGTGACAGTTTTACTTATTGACGTAGCCATCGAGGTTGAAATGGACCTCATCAATCAACATGACTTTTCAATGAAATTCCGTTTCATTTGCATGCATTTCCAGGACGCAATCAGCAAAGTCACGACGTCGTTGCTGACCGGTCAGCTGGAGTTCTTGTGTTAACCGTGCTTTATAAGCCGTAAGAACTAAGTTTTTATGCAAAATGCGGTGCAATGACGTTTGTGGAATGCCCAAAGAACGACGAGGACTAGAGAAGCTTGAGTTTTCTCAAACACTTTGGGCTACAGCATCAATATTCTCAGTTGTTCTTGAGCGGCATGCACGTGACTTGTCCCAAAAGCTCCATTTTTGCCATCAGTTTCTGTATTGCGGTCCGACAAGGTGCTTCACCTACCTTCAGTCTACGCGAACCATCTTTGCCAAGTCGCTGGAAGCGACATTATGAATGTTTTGACAAGCTCTCAGTGAATGGCCGCTTGTTAAGAAGCTGTCAGTACGTCGTTCTGCCCAGCAATTTTTGTCTAGTGTGCTGCATGTAGTCGGTATAGTCTAGTACTCCATTTCTGATGTGCCTGGGTAGAGATTCAGCCTTCAGTAAAAGCCATCGGAAGCTTCCCAAAAGAGATTTACTTTCACGATTCTATGGGCGGTTTTCTAACATCTGTCCACTGCGACTCGCTAGCTCCCTGCATCCAAATCAGAACTGACGACCAACCAGCCAATTGCAAGCAACGTTTCTTTTTCCGTTTCCTTAGGTACTTCCGGCTAATGATTTGAGGTCTTTTTCGGCTCTGTACTTTTATGGCAATTTCAGTCGTATGCGCAGTGAAGGAGTGCAGTCTGTCCAAGGTAACTTTCAGTAACTTTGAAATATTAGTTGCCGGAATTTTTACAACATCGACTTTCACATTGAGTATCAGACGGAAGGTCGGCGAGATAGCAATTTACTTTCGAACATAAGTTATCAATATCACGGCCAGGGAAACGCCCTCTGATGGAGAAGGGAGTTTCCATTGTTTAATCTTACGGAGTTTGGAAATTCGACCTCGAAAATCTACGTATGATTGTAGACCACTCAGGGAGTCCATTGTCCACCTCGCTAATTCCGGCGATAATGTGGAGTCTTCAATATATGATAATAGCACTGAATGGTTGACGGTTCAAAAGTTTGGCACATCCAATGCCACCAGGACGGTGCGCACACAGGGCCGGTTTTGATTAAGGCTGCTGGGCTCAAATGTTGTGGGAAGGACAGCACCAGGAAGGCCTCAATACTCTTCGCTGTTGAGGAAAAGAGAATATTATATCTGATAATATCAGAGTTGTCATAGAAAAAATTGGCAACCTTGATAAGGTAATCACCCCACGCTAGTTTGGCATCAACATGCCTACTCTGAACATCTTCCCTAAAAAATCCAGCGCTAGGCTGGTATTCATCAGTCAAGGTAGACGGCGGGTAACTTTAAGAACCTGATTCTCCTCTTATGATGGTCGAATTTCGGCCGAAACTTCTTATTGAGGTCCCTGATGTAATTTGAATATTTCGAACTTCGACATCGGTTCAGACCTTTGACGTTTGAGGCTGAAGGCACTGCCGTGAAGACTTGGGGCGCATTTGAGCGTCGATAGCAAGTGGTCACGTAAAGCGTAAGTATGTGTCGTTAAGCCTAAGCAGAACAGACATTATTCATTACATTGCCTGCATTTGTGGCATATACAGCAAAAGTAATCCGTCCGACCAGGGTTGAGTTCGACGCCGGCTCTGATGAAAGGGATTTGTAGCAGCTCAGCTGCGTGGTGTTGCTTCATTGATGTACTTAGACTAATATTACCAGCTGACCTAAGCGAGGCTAGTTCGCCGAAAGTTTGACAGCTCTTAACTGGATAAAATCTGGGCCAATTCTGCTGCGTAGAACAGGCTGTCGAGAGCGTCGAGGACTCATCACCTCTTCTCCTCTGCTTCTGGGCACTACTTTGTCAAGGGCGAAGAATCGACACTCCTCACATTTACTTTTAGCCGGTCGAGACATCGCGGTGCCATGATTGAATTAGTGATGTAGAATGGCAAACCTCTTCCCAAGAGGATTGAAGAATGACTCCTGAGCACTATAAAACGTAAAACATGTTTTTGTTGTTGTACCAGCTTCTCCAATCTCGCTTAGAGACATACTAATGAATCTCAGTCACCAAGGTCATCTATGGGGGGTTCTGACCAAAGGGGGAGGGAGAGTCTGTTTTAGGTGACATGTAAGTAGAGGGTTAGTGTCGTACGGGCATTCGTTACATGCTGGTTAGGTATGTGGGGAGTGAGTCTGGATTGATAGAAGTTTAACCTACTACAATATCCAGACCTTAGTTGCGTTCAGATATCATCTGGGTGCATTTGAAGAAACTTGAAAAAACTTGAACCAACAAACTAACCAACTTTGATGAATAGGACCTCTTGAAATTATTATATTCGTGACATTGGCAATTTGTTTCAACATTTGAAATGTTTTTTTTTCTATATTTTATTTAAATTTTTATTTATTTTTTTTAATTTTTTTTTTGTTTTTTGTTTATTTATATTAAATATATTTTATTGTTTGGAAAATTCAAACAGTGCCCCTGGTTGGGCAATTTCTTGTACAATAAGTAAGAAAAGGATGGGCGTATACAGCGATATTCCATCCGAGTGTTTTGCTGCCCCCCGTGGCAGGGCATGTCTGTCGTAGGAGGCGACAAAAATCCAGTAGTTCCCGCGACAGTCGGCTCTTTATACCGTCGTTCCGGTTTTTTATACGATCAAAGGCTGTCACTCCCGCAATATTTCCCGAAAGCCTATTCGGGTAATATTTTGCGGTTAGAACAACGGCAACAATAACCACAAACAACACGCATGTTTTGCATAAAACAATGAAAACAACACGCATTTTACATTTTTAATGAAATTTTCACTTTATACCTTTTAATAGTCAATACCATTTATTTAAATATTTCGAACATGCTTCAGCAGCAAATTTTATATTAATATTCATTTCCATTTACATACACACTTAAAAGCTAAAATTAAATATTACGTTGTATTTAGTAAGTATTTAATATGTAAGTATATAAATGTAGCAGTAATAATAATAAAAAAATACTCTTTGAGTTTACAAAACGGTCTGTAGCTTCTTGAGTTGTCACCATTTCTCACACTCAACACGATTAAATATATTTTATATGTCTACATACATATGTATATGCAAAATTTAATGTCTGCAAAATTCTTATTTCTGCAAATTAAACGCCTAAACTTACGACCTAACTGTACTTAACTGTAATTACTTATGTATGTAAAGCGCACAAAATAACAAATTCACTAATTAAAAGGAAATTAAATAAAATTTAATTATAATTATTCATTGAAACACAAAATGGAAAGAGTTTAAGGGCGTACAAAAGCGCAGAAAAAACAGAGTTTTTTAGAGGAATAATTTAAAACGCTTCAATACTTAAAAAGAGAGAAAAGTGGCAACTTAGCTGGTAGATAGATATGAGAAATCAGCAGCACAGTTAATTGCTGAATTACACTTAATTTAAAAATACATATATATTAATATTTCATTCAGCTTCTCCTTAATTGATTTAATTTACGCATTAGTGGCATTTATCCAAAGTATTTAAGTAACTTAAAATTTAACATTTCCTTCAGACATACATTTTTCGTTTCAAACTACTTTATATGTACATACATAGCCTACTTAAATAAAACCGCACATATTTTTTCTCGCTTATACCTACATATGTATGCTACAAGCTGTGCGTGCATCTGTGTTGTAAAATTATCGCTTTAAATGATATTTATTTACAAATTTCGCACGCCGCCTCTACTGTTGCAACTCCTTATCCGCAGGCGGCGCTGGCGCTGGCGCTTGCTCCTTCATCGACTCCACCTTGGCGACGATCTTCAATGCCGGTCCCAATTTCATGCCCATCGCATTCACCAAATGATTCTCCTTGAGCAACATCAAGGCCTGACCGTCGATTTCCTGCTGTTCAAAATCTTCTACATAATCCGTGCAACCCGGCAAATGACGTATGAACTCACATACTTCAGCCACTGTCCAATCGGCCATTGCGGGACGTTCGGCGTTTGTGGCGGCGGTGGCGGCTGCAGGAGATGGCGTTGAAGCCGACGCTGCAGCGGCATTGTTAGCAGCTGTTGTAGCAGCAGTAGCAACAGCATTCGCTGCTGCTGCCGCTGCGTTTGCCGCCTGTTGTGCCTCTGCAGCCACAGCTGCAGCATTTTCATGCTTACCACCCGCCACCAAAGCAGCAGTGTTATTACTATAGCCGGTAACGGGTGCGGAGGGTATAGAATCTGTTTGCATTTTCTCCGGCGCTGCAGCAGCCGAAGCATCATTTGTATTGCTTGTAACATTGTTGGTGTTTTCCATGGCGTTTTTATTATTCGCCAGCATTGTGTCATTATTGGCATGTTGTTGTTGATTGCCGGTGGCAGTGTGCAGCACATTGGTGGTGTTGCTTTGCGTTGGCGCCTCGGCGGGTTGTTCATTCATCGATGCCTTCGATTGGCGCGCACAGGTGAGGGAACAGAAACGTTTCTTCTTCAGTTTTGTTTTGTGCTCCGGCTTGCCGCATTGCTCGCAAGCAACCATGTCGGGCGGTAGTGAGTTGGGTCCATTTGTTTGATTGTAGGAGTTGTTATTGTTAGCCGCTTCTTCGCTCATGGACATTTTCTTCTCTGTAAAGTAGAGTATGAAGGAAAACTGTTTAGTGTGGGGAAAGTTCCATGCGAAAATGTGCGGCTACTAATAAACCAAAGAATATTTTGTTTAAATTAATTTTGTTGTTGTTGTTACAGCAGCTTACTAACCACGCCTAGAAATAGGCGGAGCTCGTCTAAGTCAACGAGGGCACCCAACGGAAGATCGCGAGTAGTGGTAAACCGCTACAACAGCAACAGCAACAACGGGTTCGGACCAGCGGTAAATATGTTTCAGATGATTTGTTTTTAGGCGGCGTGAAAAAGTGATTATCAGAGCATGGAGAACATACGCTGGATATGCCGGGATCAACTACCATATCCAGATCTTAATTGTGCTGGTCTTTTTTGGAGACCTAACCCCATTTAGATCATCAATAAATTCTTGCCAGTGTTACTTGGATCTCAATGGGGTGTGGTGATTGAGTTCCAAGAACGACATTCACGGTAGGAGGGTAGACGAAGATGTTGACGGTGTCTCGGTGAATGACATTTAAAGACAGTCGATACGCCGTCCTGTCCAGCGGATCTGGTCTGAATTGCTATATGGAATAGTAATAGTAAAGCACTACCTTCGTGAGCTGCAACGGTGGTGGTTCGACTTTAAGTAGGTATCTGTTGGGATGATACCGATGGTAGCATTTGGCAGATAAGGAGGCAGGCATTAACGAGTCATTAGATCATCTCCTCTGTTTCTGCGCACCAATAACAAGAACAGAAACCACACTTTACAGAGAACAAGAAAACTCAAACCTTTCTATATTCTGATGCCTTTAAATCTTGCCAAAAGCGTTGATATACTAAATGACAACCACTGCACCTCAAATTAGACTAAACCATCAAGTAAAGGATGGTATTTTGAAACAAAGAAGATAACGGTAGAGGTGTTGATCTCATAACTCAGTCGTTTTTGTTCCGTCTTTTTTGATGTAAAAAACGCTCCATGATGTGGAGTGTCGAAAATGTCAATAAATGAATGGAATAGAATCAGGACAACGCCATAACACCCACGTCGATAGTGATTCGGCAGAAGCGCCTTGAGCGCACTAACTAACTACCTTTCTGTCTATGGCGAATGATTTGGTCGGTGAAAAATTAGTTTCAAGGGAAATCAGTGAGGCATGGTGTAGAGGATTTGAAAGTGTAAAGTCGTTTCCTGGCTTTCTGTTGGCTCAATGTTTGAGACAGAGGGATATCTAGATAAATTTACATGTCTGGATCATCTAATTCTTTCGCTGCTTGCTCGGTTATACGTTGTAGATTTGAGATTATGAATTTTATATTTGAATGATGGGTAAAGCAGGTTGCGAACATTTTCTAGGATAACTTGTTCTCGAAATTTCTTACAGATATGTGATTTTTCATTTCAAACTTTTCTATTGACATTGAACTAAAAGCCAAAAGCTCTATTGTTAGACATTTATAGGCTTTTGACACAACAATCTCTTCACTTTTGTATTAATTAATTTTTAATATAAAAATAATAATAAAACCCTTTAAAAGATGAATTAGTTGCCTTTGTATAGTTAAAATAGGTTTTGCATCATACTTACTGGGCGGCTCATCTTCGGTATCCTTATCTGTATAACGCTGTCGTGTCACCGGAAAGGGTTCATCGGCCTCTTTTATAAGCATACCTTCGATGACGTGCGTCAGTACGTTGGGCTTGATCATCGCTTTAGGCAAATCCTTTTCCACTTTAACGCTTGCCATGGTAGACGTGTTCTTGGGCATCGCGGAGATTGCATTTGGTGTGGTTTTAAGATTTTGAGTATTACTTTCATCGTTGGTAGTAGTCGTGGCTGCTGATGATGACTTTTCTGTCTCCGCATTTGTAGCAGCTGTTTTGGAGGGGTCTTGCGTGCGGTTACCCGATGTGCCTGTGTGAGGGGAAAAATTATATAAAATTAATTTGAATCGAATCATGTAAATAAATTTCCAAATAATTTCTGTCCCTCTCTCTCTCTTACCTTTCGCTGGCGATGTTGTCGCTGTTGGCGTAAGCGATGTTACATTCGCTACATTCTTTGTTGGCGTTGTGGTCGCCGATACGTTGGTAGGTGTCGTCGGCGTTGATGGCGGCGGTGTGGAATCCATAGCACTTGTACCCTTTGCTACGTCAACGCTTGACGAATTGACTGCACTAGAAGTGCTGTTGGTTTGCAGCAACTGTTGTTGTTGTTGTTGTTGGTGCTGCTGCTGGTTTGTAGCAGTTGATTGGGACGACGCTGTGGCTGAGGACTCAACCGTTTGCTGCTGTTGAAGTATAGCAACCTTTGTGGACTCGATTGCCGCCTTTGCTGCCGCCTCTTTGTTCAGTTCATTTGCCGTTGTTGAAGCAGTTGAAGCAGCTACTACCGTTGCATTTGCAGCATTCATGCCTATTATTTGATTATTGTTGGCTGCCGCAGCCGCTGCTGCTGCAGAGGCTTGCAATGCGCGATTCGCTTCCGATGCAATGCCTCCCACGTGTGACATTTGTGTGGGCGTGTGGTTGGCTAAAGCGTTCTTATATTGCTGTTGTTGCTGCAACTGCTGATGGTGCTGTTGCTGTTGTTGTTGTTGCTGTTGCTGTTGCTCACTAACAACCATTTTAATTGGCGTACCCGGAAGCGAAGAAACAGATGTAACGCCACCACCGCCAGCAATACTGCCCACACTGTTCAGCGGTGAGGCCATGGTTGCTGCTGCGCTCGCCGTTGAGCCAATCGGCGATGATGATACGCTGTTACCACCCATGGATGCATTCATCATGGAGGTCAGACTTAGTAGTGGACTTTGTGTGGGTGTCGATACTATGCTGGGCTGTGGCAGTGGTTGTGTGGCGGGTGGTGCCATTTGGGTTTGTTGTTGTTGTTGCTGATGTGCTTGTTGAGCTTGCTGTTGTGCCAACGCTTGGGCTTGTTGTTGCTGCGCTTGTGATGCGGCCAGCGTTGCCGCTAATAGACTTTGCTGTTGTTGTTGTTGTTGTTGCTGCTGCTGTTGTTGTTGTTGCAATTGTGCAGTTTGATTAATGCCAATAGTGCTGGTAACTAGCGGTCCAGCCTGATTTGTAATGGTCACCACTGAACTGGTCGGCAGTGTAGACGCCTTCGACTGATAGACGGCATGTTGTTGCAACGCGGCTGCCGCTGATGAAGCTATGCTCGAGGGCGTTGAAGAGGACACGGAGAAGGGCACGCCGGCAATTTGTGGTGGCAGGTGTGCCGGCTGTTGCTGTTGAACGTGAGCTTGCGCCTGTTGTTGTTGCTGTTGCTGCTGCGGTTGCTGCTGTTGCTGTTGTTGCACAACAATTTGATGGATTATATTCTGTTGCTCACGCTGTTGTTGCTGTTGTTGTTGCTGCTGCTGTTGTTGCTGTTGTGCTTGTTGCTGCTGCTGCACCAACTGCTGTTGCAGTAGCTGCGTCTGCGTTTGCAGTTGTTGTTGCGCTTGTTGTTGTGTGATAAATGTCTGCGGCGCCACCTGCAATTGTATTTGTTGCGGCTGCTGGGTTTGCTGCAATTGTTGCTGCTGTTGTTGTTGCTGTTGCTGCTGCTGTTGCATTTGTATAGCCGAAGCGAATTGTTGCTGCAACAGTTGTTGTTGTAATAGCTGTTGTTGTTGCTGTTGCTGCTGTTTTTGTATCTGTTGTATTTGCAGCTGCTGCTGCTGATGTTGCTGTTGCTGCTGCTGCTGCTGTTTATCCATATGCCCAGCTGTGGCGGCGGCGGCAGCTTGTTGTAGAGCCTGACCATTCTGTATGGTGATTGACGGTCCGGTGCTCATCACAACCATTTTGCCCGTCGGCGTTACAACCTGATGCATGGTTGCGCCCTGTTGCTGCAGTCCAGCCGCCGTGGCGATCGTCTGCGGCTTTGCCTGCCCATTCTCAGTCTTCATCGTGGGCAGCGCCGGCCGCACTGGCTGATTTTTGGTTCGCATCTTCTTCAGCAAACTCTGATTCTGCGCGGTTTGCGTCGACACTGAGCTAGCCGGGCGTATTTGTGCGCCATTTTGTGGCATTATCTGCGGCACGCGTTGTGCTACTTGCAGTTGACTTGCCGTTATAGCTTGCTGCTGCAGCTGTGCGGCGACGACAGCCTGTGCCGTTTGTTGTTGTTGCTGCTGGTGTTGTTGTTGTGCCTGTTGTTGATGTGTTTGTTGTTGTTTGGGTGCGAGCGCTTCGATTTGCTGTCGCGGCTTCTGTGCGGGCTGTGCGACATTGCATTGCAATGTGATTGCTGCTGGAGGTATAAAAGGGATGTGTTAGCAAAAAAAAAAACGGGAAAAATCCCCAATCACTTACGATTCTGCTGTTGCGTCTGTATGGTCTGATGCGCCGTCGGCTGCTGTATGAACATGCTCTGCGTGCCGTCCGGCTGTGTGCCCCGTATGATGATGGGATTCTGCCAAATGGGCACCCAAGGACCAAGTTGCATTTGCTGTGTGCCCGTGGTGCCCTGCAGCGGACTTATGATCTGTGTCGGCATTGTAGCTTGCGACACCTGTACACATTGCTGCGTCGACTGTTGTTGCTGCTGTTGTGCTACACCACCAGCAGCGCCAGTTGCCGATTGCACGGTGTTCGTAGTGGTGGTGACTTTCTGCACAACTTTCTGCTGCAGACCTTTCTGTGCATCGCTAGTAACTTTGGCGTTTTGCGCTTGTTGCTGCTGTTGCTGATGTTGTTGTTGCTGCTGCTGCTGCTGCTGCTGAGCGTTGGCGACCATAGAATTGAATAGGTTATGTTGTTGTTGTGGCGATTGCGCCAACATAGGTGTGAAGAGCAACGCTTGCGGTGATTGACTGGACGGTATTGCATAGGTGTTGGGGAAGCCAGCATTGCCGCCAATCATTTGTTTGGCATTCTGTGTGGTGGTGGTAATCATTTGCGGCGTGCCGCCTTGAAAAGGTTTGCTGGCGATAACCTGCCGGAGAAATGAAACAAAAAAAAACTCAGTAAAAAAAGTATAAACCCAAACTTCAGTAACACCCACCTGTATTGGCTGCTGACCCAAATTCGAGTGTATCAAATTGCCTGAAACCAGTTGCGGATAGATGAAACCCGAATTGAGCGCCGCTTGCTGCGGCATCAACTGCACGGTGCGTCCTTGCGCCCAATCACCCAAAACACCGCCCGTCAACTGCATTGGGGACATGGTGCTTATAGTGGTCGAATGTTGTTGTTGCATTGCAGCAACTGCCGCCGCCGCACTGCTGGGTGTTTGCTGATTAGCCGGACTGCCCGGTGCGCCGGCCGTGGGATCAGCCAATTGCATTTGCATTTGCTGCAATTGATTGGCCTGCGTAGGATCCAACAAACCGGGATGCTTCAGTTCGCCGGCAGCACCGGCGGCAGTCAGCTGGTGTGTGGTGGCAGTGTGTGTGGGAAATTCCTGTTTCACCTGGATGGCAGTGAACGGTGAGCCATGTTGCAATTGCAATTGTTGCAACTGCTGTAATTGTTCGGGTGAGATTTGCAGTGGCACCGATGTGGGCGCCACCTGTTGGGCTGGACTCTGTGATTTCTCCAGCGTGAAGTTTTTATGCTGTGCAAGGTTGTGCGTTGTCAACTGGTGTAGTAGTTGTTGTTGTTGTTGTTGTTGTTGCTGCTGCTGTTGATGTTGTTGCTGTTGTGCAATTGCCGATGTCGAGGAGCTAACAAAAGTCGATGATGTTGTTGTGGTCGACGACGACGATGAAGCAGATGAGGCTGATGGTGTTGTTGTTGTGGACGAGGAAACCTGCTTATAGCCGGTGTTGTTGTTATTATTGTTGTGGTGATTTTGATTACCACTCGCACTACTAATATGCGTATCCGGCGAATATGGTTCACTAGCAAAATCGTACTTCTCGTCGAATGTGATCCCAGCCTTCTGAGCGAGTGTCTCGAGACACTTTAACGGTCGCTCGCTGTTTTTACTGCAATTTATATTATTATTGCTAATATTTGTTGTTATTTGTGTGTTATTTATTGTTGGCGTATTATTTGCAGTAGTGTTTCCTTGTTGTTGTTGTTGTTGTTGTTGTTTTAACGCAGCTGTTGTACTATCCACGGATTGCGTATAATCAGAATTGACCTTGATAATCCTAATATTCGAGTTATCCTTCAAAGGCTGTGTGGGCAAGTAGACGTTGTTGGGTGCTGGCTGTGTGACGTCGCTTTCAATATCCGTTCTAAACGAATGAAATGGAAAAAAATAGTGATTAGAATACATACACTTGAAGAATATGACGAGACAGGGGTGTGAAGCTGTACCAGTGTGTGTAAAAATAATAATAATACTAATATTAAGAACGATATACAATAATAAGACACTGTACATAAACCAAAAAATGGGAATATGAAAAATATTACATTTAAAAAAGTACAAAAAGGGAAATAAAATTACATCAATGAAAAATATAAAAAAAAAAATTTAATAAACCAAAAATTAGTAAAAACAATTAATGTCAATAAAAACTTACACCAACAAAGTTAATATCACTAAATAATAAATTGTTATATGAAACTATCGAAAATACTCGACTCAATTCCATTAAATTTAATTAAAATATTTTCTAATTAATTAAGAAAAAATAATTCACAATAAAACTAAGCTAAAAGCTTTGTAAAACAAATTAGAATTAAATTGATACGTTTCAGACAATGCTATGATTATTACCATACTCACATACATACACTGACTTATATTGAAAGTTGAAAGAAAGCAAATATAATACTAGAGTATATGAAAACGTAAATATGAAATAAATAAAAATAAATTAAATGAAACTCTAATAAAGTGAGATAAAATAAATCAAAACAAAAGAATATATAAAAGTAAAAAAAATAAAAAAATTATCAAGATAAGACATATATAAAAAACACAAAAAAGATTTAACAAAAATAAAATAAAATAGTAAAATTAATTAAAAGCAATCAAAGCGAAATAAGATGAAATATATTAATAAATAAACAAAATTTAATAAAATTAAATCAAACAATTAAATAAAACTAAATTGGACAATACAAAATAAAATAAAAATAAAACTAAGAAAAATAAAGTAAAATAAAATATAAAAAAAATTAAATTAAATAAAACAAATAGTATATTAAAATTAAAAATATATATATATATTAAAATTAAAAAATATATATATAATAAAATTTAAAAAAAATTATATTAAAATGAAGAATCTATTTTTTTTTTTTATTAAACAAAAACAAAATTTAATTTAAATAAAATTTAAACTAAGGTATGTTAAAATAAAGGCAAAAGAAAATAAAATAAAGTAAATAAAATTGAGTTAAACCGTGTTAAAATAAAACACAAACTCACATAAAATAAATTAAACGAAAATAAAAAATTAATGCAAAATATAAATTTCAGATAGGATAAAAAAAATTGTTAAATGAATAAAAAAAAAAATAGAATAAAAATCAAAATAAAATAAAATGAGAAAATTAAATAAAATATATAAACAATTTAAATTATATAAAAAAGCAGGAAGAATTAAGAAATTTATTAAAGTATAATATAAGAAAATAAACTAAAAAAATTAAAATAAATTAATTTAAAAAAAAATAAACTGTAAAAAGAAAATAAAGTGAAAAGTAAAATTAAAAAATATATAATAATAAAAAAGGGTGATATGAAATTAAATCAAATTGAAATTAATAAAAAAAAGTTTAGTAAAAATAAATAAAGGATTAGTAGAATTAAATAATATTACAAGAAAATGCAAAATCAAAAAGAATGAAGTAAATAAACTGAAGCAAAATGAAACAAGTCAAATGAGAACAAAAAAATTTATATAAAATATTAAATTAAAATAAAATACAAAAATAAAATTGAATAAAAAAAATAATTAAGCTAAATTAATAAGCGAAAATATATTAAAAAATAAAATATAAAAAAAAATTATATTAAATAAAATCATAAAAAAATAAAATAAATAAATAAGGAATTAGTATAGAATATAATATAAAATTAAATTAAAATAAAATGTAAAATATTAACTTTTAATTACAAAAAATAAGGTGCAATAAAATAAAATTTTGTTATAACAAAAGCTAAAACAAATAGCATGAAGTAAATAAGAAAACAAAGCAATATAAAATGCATAACATGGATATAAAAAAATTATTGAAGTTAAATGAAGCAAACAATACAAAAAAAAAACAAGAAAATTAAACGCAAATAAAAAAACAACATATAATTTAAAAATAAAAGGAAAAAGAAATAAAACATAAAGAGGAATAAAAAATAAAAATAAAATGACTTTTAAAAAAATGTCAAAACTAACAATTAAAAAGTTGGATTAACAAAGGAACAATTTCGTTTATAGGTATTAAAATTCATTTTTTTTTTGGGCTAAATGAATATTCAGCAGCATTTACACTTGAAACATTTTTAATTGTATTCAAAGAAAAAAAAGATATCTAATATAACGATTTATTACATTTAGAAATTAATTTTTCTCCAATTAAAAAAAAATGATCTTCAGCATTTATAGGTGAGTCTCTCAAAAAGTAAGCGTGACCTTTACAGTTTGCACATTAAAGTTTTTTTTAATGGTTAATATAGTTCTATTTTTCTAATTCGTAGATAAAAAAAATTACAGAATCCCAAAAAAAATAGGTGTTGGCGATCCTAACCTCAAAAAGGAAAACGTTAAATCAGTAACATCAAGTTTCATTGAAACACCAATCAATTATTTATTAAAACCTAAGATTCATTTATTGATAAGATTGCTCTGCTGTTGTTGTTGTAGCCGCAAAATATTCCCAAATAGGTTTTCGGGGGAATATTGCGGGAAAGACAGTATTTTGCCAAATAAAAATCCGGCTCGTTCCGGTACAAAGATCCGACCGTCGCGGCGGGAACTATCGGATTTTAGTCGCCTTTTACATGCATCGCATGCCTCACCAGGGGTAAATTCTTGAGCCCATAACCAGGAGGGGTAACAATAGTATTTTGCTGCATGTATTCGCCAGTTTTTAACCAGGAGGAAGTCTTCAAAATTCGAAAAACTGCATTTCATATGCTTATATGCAATAAAAATTTCAAAAATTAGTACTGTAAATTTTTCCGCATTTAGTTATTCAAAAAAAAGGGGTATATTTTTGAAAAAAAAAAAAAGTTCCAAGTCTTCTAAACATTTTTTCAGTTAAAAAGTGAAATTTAATTTATCATGCCGCAACAGTTTTTTGCCGCCAATTCTTCTAATTTTCTGTTTTGCATTTTTTCCACTCATTCATCCATCATCATTTCAAGTTGCACATGCCGGTTCCACCCTGCCGGCGTGCGCATGTCCCATTACATTAGCTAGCTACATACTGCTGGATGTGTTTCGAAAACTGAGTTTGTTGCATGCAACTAATTTGATCAGCGTGCAATTTCAAGTGAGTACAATTGGCGGTGGGGCAGGAAGGAAGGAAGGGAAAAAATAATTTATTTTTTGTTGTTTTATACGTATATGAAGCTATAAGGGATGTTTTTATTATTATTTTCTTTTATTTTGTTGTAGTCACAACACGTTCCTTAATAGGACATAAACAGGGAATGGTATGTTGTTCGGGGATGAAAGAACTTTTTTTCTCTCTCTACAAACTTCATTAATAATATTATTATTATTTGATTTTTTTCCCCTTTCGGCCTTTACAGCAAACCGGAAGGATGCATAAAAAAAAAACAGAGAAAGAACAGGCAAAAGTGTGCGCGAAAAAAAGGATGAAAGCATGAGAAAATAGAAAAAGAATTTATACGATTTGGTAGAGAAGGATAACGAAAAACTAAAAACAAAAAACAAAAAAAAAAAAACAAAAAAAAAGCAAAGGGAAATGAACTTGCCACATTTGGGGGAGATGCTATTATAGAATATGTATATATATATATATATATATATATATTTTTTTTTTTTAATTTTATTTTTCTTCCAAAAATAAGGGTTGGGTTTTATAAAAAAAAAATTAATTGTAGGAATTTAAAATTAAACCCTTTCTCAATATTTGCATTGTAAAAATAAATTTATTTTTTTATCTAAACATGTTTTTGGTGTAGTAAGTGTTTGACATAAAGTTTTTCAAATTAGACATTTGTGAAAGGTCGTTGGCATTCTTTTTGCCTGTTTTAACGTCTACCGATTCGAATGATACCTACATATGTATGTATGTATATCATGGGTAAGCTGAACAACAGAAGGAGGAGTGTACAATATAGGTGGGACTACAATTTATCAGTCTTATCACAGGTAAAACTCTCCATCATATAAATACAAATCTTTGTTTTCATATTTATTCCCTATGATTTCCGAAAATAGCCAGCAAATTACACAGAAAGTTTACCGAGTTTTTTCATTTAATTTTCGGTAAAATTTTTTTAAGTAAATATTACCTATGAGTGGACCTGTGTCGTTCGATTTATTAGAAATTCGATACAGATATAAACTTAAATTCGAATCTTAAATTTTAATTTAGCATACTCAAATTTCATTTCTTAGAACAAAAAAACACTTTAAAAAAATTCCTTGTTTAGTAGTTTGTGTTAATTGGAAGATTAAGCATAATTTCTGAAACACTTTGAAGAATTTGTAAAAAGTTATAGCAAACACAAAGTTATAGAGATTTTCATGACCTTTTTATATATCATTATTATTTTTTTATATTTTTTTATTATTACTTTTTCATATATTTTTTTTTTTTTTTTTTTAAATATTTGAGTTTTTTTATTCTAAATTTTTTTTCCAATTTTCCTATATTTGTTATTTTGGCATTTTCAATTAATCTTTTATTTTTAATTTAAAATTTTGTTTATTTTTACTATTTAATTTTTTAATTAGATTTCATTTTATATGAATCTTTATTTATTTAATTTTTTTTCCAACATATAGAATTTATTCCTATATTTTTTTATTTTTTTTTTTGTTTTTTTAGTTTTATTTTGTATTTCCTTTACTTTTTATATCTATTATATTTTTTATTTTTATATATATTTTTATATAATATTTTTAGATTTTTTTATATTATTTTTACATTTTTTTTTTATATTATTTTTACATTTTGTTATATATTATTTTTTCATTCTTTTGATGCATTATTTTTTCGTTTTTTTTCATATATTATTTTTTTATTTTTTCTATCATTTATTTTTATTTCCTTTTCTTGATTCCTTTTATTTTTTAATTCTTTTAAA